GAGATATAGAAAAAACTTGGGGAAATATTGTCGACCTCTTTGAATTAACTTTTTCTTTCAAAATCGTAATGAGGACACTGACAGATAAAATGCATTTCATCTTCCACTGCTCCCTCTGTACAGTATTTACATACCATTCGTTTACTGTGCATGCTAAAGACATACATACGATTGATATTCAAGAGTGGCAACATGACCTAACTATTCGTAATGACATGCTGTGTCGTGAGACACGGGAAGAAATGAGGGCTCAGCAGAATAACGGATGTTTACTGGTTTGAAATCAGGCATCAACTGAAAGTAAATCCTGGAGAAGCCAGAAGTCCATAAGATATTGTAAACAGGAACATGTCGTACTAGCATGAAAATTCATCTGTATTGGTAGTTACATGTTTAAAGCTTTTGGTCCAACACAAAACAATTCTCTCACCTAGAGATTTCGACCAGTCACTCTGTTAGACGATGTCTGCAAAGATTTTGGACACTGAACAAGACTTTCTTTAGAGGGGTGAAGGAAGCCATATACATCTGGGCCCATCACCCTTCATTGAACCGCGACGGGGACCGACATCGTCTACCAGATACCTTTGACCCAGTGTTGACGTCACACTTCAAAGACGCCAAGTGAAAAGCTTCACTGGGTCAGTCTACTGAGGAAGACCAGAGTGACTGGTAGAAAACTCTAGGTGAGAGAATTTTTGTGTTTGACCAAAAGTTTTAACTTTAAACAAGAACTTGTCGTAATACTCACAAGATCGTCGCATGCTGCATCCCTCCAGGATGCTGTTAACCAGTCGTTTCCATCTGAACATCTGAACAGCAATAGAAAATACATCACTGTATAATGAGTTTTGCCTTTAACATATACATAACATAACATAACATATGCAAATTTACGCAGATGTTCGTCGTAAAGATACACAAGCACACAGACTCAAATACAAGCAAAGTTAGCAGTCGGCAAACAAAGAAAAATTTTGGAACTTAATTTTGGAAGTTTTGTTGAAAGGTTACATAAGCTCATACAATCTTTTTTTTCTCAACTGACCACGTTTATCTTTACTTGGGTAAACATCACGATTCACAAAGCTCTTAATTCGATAAAACTGTCTCACCTGTTAACTTTCTGACACCACCCACACTCAAAGTCTACTATACTCGAGTTTATGCAACTACTGCATCCCCTTAGTTCACCACACGCTGCAAAACACACATTATATAAAGATATATTCAAATCTTGAAATCTATGGTACTTGATTAGAGAAATGTAAATAGCTTGTTACGTATAACATCATATTCATTACACACATGGTGATCCTGCATATAGTCACATTGTAGAGGGAGCTGCTGAAACCTCAGAGTCAGCAGATCACTTTCCAAAGCATTGGCTGATTGATTGATATTTTGCCTGACTTATTGATTGATTGTGATGATATGGAACTAAAAAAAATGCAAATGTGTCAAATGATCGACTTTCTGACAGAAGGATGATATATTAGGGGAACTCGTAAATAAGATAATTGCCTCCCGTTAAATTCCCACTGTCAATTTCTTTAAAACAATGTTCTGAATAATGATGAAGTAAGTAAAAGAAATCTCTACATCTGGATGCATGTTAGACGTTTCAGGTACCAACCGGAGTCTTCCATCAGTGAAATAATTAGAAACTGATTTTACAGCTTTGTTATAAAAATTTATATAATTAAACATTATCATATTTCCTGGATGTCTAACCTGCACAAACGTAATGTTATGAACTCGAATGGTTTCAGAAAAATATATCTTTATAGCAAAGTTATTTTTATCACAACCATTTATTTTTCAAGCCGACGTTTCGATGACCTTCTGTCATCTCCATCAGGGCATTTCTGACTGGTTTACTGTGCACTGACACTAGATGTTATTTGGTGCAAAAACTAGCTTAAAAGTGCACTGTGAAGCAAGTAATAGTGCAGTGTGAACTATGTAACGCCTTTAGTGCACTATGCACCGAGTAACATTTAGTGTCAGTGCACAGTAAACCAATCAGAATTGCCCTGATGAAGATGACAGACGGTCATCGAAACGTCGACTAGAAAAATAAATGGCTGTGATAGAAAGAACTTTGCTGTCGTTTACCAACCTGATGAATTTATTTACGGATATATATCTTTATTTTGCCTTCTTTTGAATAAAACACATTTTACTTTGTATCGTAGATACATGACTGTACAAAGATAAGACTTACTTTGCTGCGGAACCAGAATGACCACGGCGTTGCTGTGAACCTTTTCCAAGCCTAACTCCACCCTGTGATATTCAATAACAGGTTTCTCCCCATCTGTTAAAAAGAAACATAAGTCACCAGCGATCATTCCTTCTTTGATTGACTTTGATTATATATGAAATAATTGTTTACCGGAGGAAAACTTATTGTTTTTGCTACGTTTCCTCTTCTTCCGTTCCAAACACTGACCTTTGACCTGATTTGTTGACGTTTCTCACCATGGTAACTAACTGTTGGGTTACATAATGTTGCAATTTTATAATAGGAGGGATTTATACTCCTGTCTGACTATATATAGGATGTATTTAAGTAAGAATTAACAGAACAAACTATATGCGAAGGTAAACATAGCAAAAGCTACTTTTCTAACAAACATGTGCTACCAAATGACAGCTTTCCTTATCCAGAACATTTATGTTTTGCCGCCGTGAGATTACATCGGATGTCTTTAAATGTACAATACATTTCAGCTGCTATCGATGCTCGGCGTTTGCCTATATGCATGTTCTCCTGCCTATCTTAACAGAAAAACCAGTCAGCTATGTAACGACCTCCAAGGTTAAATTGCATATGAATTTAGATTATAGCTTACTATGCAAGTCCCCATGGTCCATAGGATAGTTAACAAAAGACCAATGATAATGTTCTTTAGACTGTTCTTTAGCATACAGATCCTACCATAGCCGCGTCAGTGTTTAAACAAGAGTTCCACGACCTCATAACTTCGCCAAATGATGTTAACCCTTCCAGTTGCCGAATAATTCCAGTTCCCAATATCTAATCATTTCTAGGGGGGCAGAATCTAATAATTTCTAGGTCTCATCAAGACCTACCTACCTACTAAATTTCATGACAATGCATATTAAGCTTCTTGAGTTATGTTGTTCACAGACAAACAGACAGACGAACAAACGCTACTGAAATCATAACCTTCTTGGCGAAGGTAACAAACATGACTTACCGAGCACCAGACTGGGGATGTAAGCGTCAGACACGCCAACCTTTACATCCCGCATGGTGTCATCAATCAGCCGGGATGGAGCCTGCAGAACAAGTTTAGGAAATATTTCTACTCATCTCTTATAATGTGATGTTATGGTTTTGCGTGACTTACGTTATCGTTCTTTCCTTTAATATGTCTGTGGGTGTAGACGTGTTATATATATTACGCCAAAAAGCAGTTACTCAAGCAACTGGATATGATTTTGTACGTTTTCAAAATCATATCCAGTTGCTTGAGTAACTGCTTTTTTGGCGTATCGTATTACCTGGATGTCTAACCTTCATCGACGTGTTATATATGCGTTCTATTAAAATGTCTCTTTCACAAAACCACCTGCAAATGTATAATAAATTACGTCCATTACCAAAGAGACAGCATCATGTCGTCTTATAGGACAATCTAGAAAACTTTTCCTTCAACGTATCAATATAAGATGTAAACTACCTACTTCCTTATATGCAAAAACGATGCGACCGTCTTTTATCAGCGTCGTCTGGAAAATGAATGGTCCGAGCTTGGTTTGGTTGGTTAGGTATAATCTGTTCCACTCGACCGTGAATGATGTTCCTGTAACAAAAAAACTTGATGACATAATGTTGAGTTTGATGTACATCCCAGCGCAGAGTTGAATTTGGAAAGTTTTGAAACCCATTTTAAAGTCTTTTATCCTTTTCTAGTGGTTTTTCCCGACGATGTGTGATCAGTTTGATAGTTGCATAGCAAACCTCCACATATTCAGAACTTGGATTTTGTGCTTCCCATTTACTTGGCCACGTTAATAAACATTAATGTCACAATGATAAACTACAGTATCTACCTTTTACACCACGTCAAATACTAAATCAAATTTTTATGAAGCAAGTTTAAACTGTAATTTCCAACACAGCAAATTGGACTCACCCAAATTTTCGACTGTAAAACTCCAGTCTTTGTCAAGGAATAAACAATCCACCGCTTCCGTGACGTCACGCAGATAACACACGTGACTCCGTGAGCAGTCGATCATAGGTTGCAGAAAGTCTGTGGCGTTCCCCGTCTTCTGCAACCTATGATCCACTGCTCACGGAGTCACGTGTGTTATCTGCTTGAAGTCACGGGAGTGGTGAATTTGGAAATTGAAAATTTGAGTGAGTCCAATTTGTTGTGTTGGAAATTACAGTTTAAACTTGCTTCATAATGATTTCTACCGGCACAGATGAACTTTCAAGATATCAATCCAGTTTATAACTGTTCCTAACAAGACAACTAGCCTGGGTGTCATTAGATTTGTAACGAGGATCCTGGCAGTCACTACCCCAAAGACTCTGTTCGATTGAGATTATTTTCGGGACAAAGAGTACAAGGAGCCCCGTTACAAATCGGATGGCACCCAGGCTACAAAACAGTATGTAATGGTAGGTACAACAGAATGCTTTTCTAGTAGTTAGAGTTAACACAAAATTGTTAGCATATCGTATTTCCAACAGTGTTAATGCAGTCTTCCTCAGTCATTGGACAAATTCAAAGTACCAGACACGGAGCAGACCTACGTCATGGGAGGAATCAAAGAAACCACCCATATTTTCATGTTACATGTGTTTGCAGTTAGCCTCCGGGCATGAACTTGGGATAAACTTTCTAATTTGATATTAGGCACACCAGTCGTCGCCCACCAGGCTGTTGACTAATTACAGACATCATATGCACATTAGGTAAGGGAGTCCCTGTACATATGAAGTCAGTGAAGGCGCTTAACATGTGGTTTACCCCGAAGCCGATTTCAAGTGGCCCCATCTGAACGCTCTAAATCACATTGAAAGCGTCTCAATTCCAAACCACTTCTAGAGGTGGTTTCGAATCGGTTTCCCCGCATCGCGATTTGCGTCTGAACGCAATGTGATTTCAATATGACTTCACCTGGTCATGGATTACGGAGTGATATTATTTATTTATATGCAATACCAAATTTTACGTGTCAGCAACTTAAAGAGTAGTAATGGTCAAATAATGTGTCCGTTCTAGGGCGAGCTTCACCGCCTCTGGCGGGACCACGTCGGCATTCGGCCGAGATACGCTGGGAGGGGGGCATCAGCAAGCAGGTCGTTGACCTCTGAAATTAATAACACGCTACCTTGCGTGTATTCATCAAATAGCAATGAATGCAGTTTCGGAGAATCGTGATCTGGCACGGTTTGAAAGGAATGTATGGCACGTGGACCAGATTTGAGGAATGCGAGTTACCCGAATCGTGGTTTGGGTGGTTTCATATAAACAAGGCCCTAGGTGATCACATACTTCATTTCTAAAGGAATACCTCAATGATTTATTCAAACATCGGATGTGCTCACGTTTTCTGTTGGAACACATTTTAACGTTTATATATATATATATATATATATATATATATAC